AAACTAATCAAGTGAGAGAGTGAGAGACTGGGGATGTAGCTCAGTGGAGAGAGTACAAGCAAGACTGGGGAAGTAGTTCAGTGGAGCCAGTGCCTGCCTGGTAAGTACAAGGTCCTGAGTTTAGTCCTTTCTCCCTGTCTCCATCTCTCCCTTTCTCAAGGTCCCGAGTTCGATCCCCAGATGGAGAGACTGAGCAGTGGAGCTGCACTTAGCCTGGTAAGTACAAGGTCCTGAGTTGGATCCCAAAGGAGATGGAGAGACGAGAGAAATTTTGGGTCAAATACTTGATTTGTCCACTAAAGTGGCAGATGATCAAATGTTGACAAATAGTCTGATTCCACTTAAGATGCTGTGTGATTGGAAGGAACTGTTTTTTCATGGAAAGCCCATATATGAACAAACCTTTATTAAGCATATGCCTGCTAATCCCTCTGAAGAACAACTTAGAGAACTGGATAAAAGAGACTTGCTAGATAGCAAAGATTATGAAGAATATAAGAACATGGTTGGAGAGTGGGCTGTACCAGAAGAAAGAATAGATAATTTACCAGCCTCCAACAGTTCCATACTGGGCCATATGATTCACAGACTCATTGAAAAATCCCTTCCTCCTCAAGTTGAGCCAACAGAGCCTGAACTTCCTTCATTTGCTACTAAAGGATGCTTAGTGGGGAAAGCTATCACTTTAGAGACTCTACAAAGAGAGTTTCCTATTCAGGTACTTTGTACGGACACTCTTGTCCAAGAAGCTATCCAAGCACTTTATGACAATGAAAAAGTCAGTGAGGACTTACCAATTCAGAAAGGAGGTGGAGAGTTTCCATCAGATCTACAGGAGGACAGTAAAGAAAGCCAGGAATCATACAGTGTATCTTCAGATGCTTCGGTTTCAGGTGAACCATTACCAGAAACACAAGGTTAAACTACATCTAGTACACATACTAATAATACACATACTAAATAAAAACCGAAGAAGTCAAATCAAGTGATAGTGATCATTTCTCTAAACTCACCATTCGTGCTCAGCTTGGTGCAAAATCACAACAATTGCTGAAAAAAGGAAAAAGTTTTCCAGACATATTATTAGTTAACATCATAGTAAATGTTATTAATGAGATACGTGTGAATCAAGGGTGATCCTTGATGATTTTCCAATGACATTAAACCAAGCACAACTGCTAGAGAAAGCTGTCACTGCCTGCAATAGAAACCTCATAGAAATGGAGGCAAAGAAAACGCAAATATCTACATTGGCTGTGGATCCTACGGCTTCAAAAGAAGTACCTCTTCCCTCTTCTGCATTTGATTTTGTCATATTGACATCTTTTTTTTTTTTTTTTGGTACCGGGGATCAAACTTGGGTCCTTGAGCTTGCAAGACAGGCGGCAGCAGAACCACTGAGCTAAATCTCCGGCCCTGATTTTGTCATATTACTAGATATTTCAGATACTTTATTGCTGAGTCGCATGAGTGATATTATAGCTGAACAATTTTCACATGAAATGGCTCATAAAGATATTGGTCAACATGGCGCTGCTGAAAACCAAGATAAACATGGGTACCAGAACTTAAGAGATCACATACAAAATAGAATTATAGGCTTCTTGGACAACTAGCCTTTGTTGGAACAGTGGTTTTCAGAAGCAGAAAATATTTTGATAAAAATCAGTGCTGAAATAAAGAGCCTTTATGCCAGAAACGGAAAGAAATTTTTGCAACTGAGATAGTGAAGAAAAAGAAAAAAGGTAATTATATTTATTATAATTTAAGCTTGTATTACTAAAATATGTGCTTCTACTGACTTGAGAAGGAAATTAAAGTGATTGCAAAGTTAAAAAAAAAAAAAGAAAATGAGACCCTTCCTGAACAGCTGATGCTCCAGATTGAATACAGCAAGTAAAGGACCCTACATGTTGGTCAGTGGTAAGGAGGGGTCCCCCAACACATGTCAGCTCCAACTGACCTTCAGTCCATGAAAACCTGGTGGTGGAAGTGCATGTGTGATTCTCCAGGTGCTCCTCACACCTCATTCTCAAGATGCAACTCATCTGTCAGCATCCCCTTAGACGTAAGTCCAAACCTGAGCCAGGCAAACATTTGAGGAAGTGGACAGAAAGGAAATGGAGAAAATCTGGGAAGAAGCTGGACAAAGATGCAAGAAAATGGGACCCATACAGTGTCTTTCTTATTGGACATTGGAGAGCCCCACAGAGAAGCCCTGATTCTACCTTCCTCCCACCAAGCAGCTTAACAGACAGCCTGATCACCTTTAGGACCTGTTGTCCAGAGAAATCTAGGAGTCAACACAAGGGGAGACCAGATCCAGGACAGACACTAGGGCTGGCTGGCAGAGGAGGGAGGTCAACATCATTTCAATACAATAAGCACAGATCAAACCCCAGTAGCAAGTGCCTGGCTTTATTTCTGGCTTATTCCTCATTGCAGCAGGAAGGCCACGCCTCAGAAGAAGCCCAAGCTGAGGGAGAATGAACCAGCACCTGAGACCGTGGATATTCTTTAGACAGAAAGGTCTAGTCAGGTTTAATGAAAACCAAGCCTGTCTGGGTGAGATACATACTACCTGAGGCGAGGAAGCGTCGTGGTGTTCAGCAGGGGATGGACAGAAAAGAATTGCAGGACCACATAGGCTCCAAGGATTCCTAAGCAGTTCAGGTGAGCAATCCCATTCTGTTCTGCTTTATATTTGGCAGATGTGACTCAGTGTTGGCTCTGACCACATGTTCAGAACTCTGTATTTCTAGGCCCCATTTCAGCTGGGGATGGTATCTTGGTTAAGCCAAAGTCTGATCAGCTGCAGAGACCAGCAAGTCAGTGCCCTGGGAATATTAAATAATATTTATAGGGAATGACATTGGGGAAATAATTTTTTTTTTTGGTACCGGGGATGGAACTCGGGACCTTGCACTTGCACTGGAACTGCTGAGCTAAATTCCCGGCCCCAAAGGGGAAATAATTATTGATGGTAAGAGGCAATCAACAGTAGGGCACTTCTCCACTGCTCAAGTGATAACAAATTAAATGGAATGAGGCTTAAAGCAATAAGGGTTTGTCCTGGGGACCGTGGAAGGAGCTAGAAAGTCACTCCTTCTGCTGATTCTGTTAATAAGACAAACCAGCCTTGCAAATAAGAAGCAGATCCGAGGAAGCCTGCATTTGAGGTGATTTTAAAATCAGCCCATGGGCCAGGGATTTAGCTCAGTGGTTCTGCCACCTGCCTCACATGCACAAGGACCGGAGTTCGATCCCTGGTACCAAAAAATAAAATAAATAAAATAAAATCAGACCAGGTCCTGCCAACAGCTTCACTTTCAGAGGCATTAAAACTGGAAAAGAGCTGAGATATCAGTCACACCAATGATTCTGTTTCAAAGGCTTCTGCCTTTCAAAAATACTGCAAGTATTAAGTAATAATTAGTTTTCATATTTTTAATTCATCAAAGACAAAGGACTGCCAAATGGCTCATGCAGAAGACCTAAAGTTGATACATTAGCCCCAAACAAGAGAGACCTTTTTTATTTTCCAGCCCGGCCATATTATTTTGTATAACTGTGACAGTGAACCTTTTAGAACTTTAATGATATAACCATCCCACTGCAGCACACATGCCATAGGTTTGCCACCACTGAAATACAGTTTCCTTTTAGAAAAACGTAAAATAATGCAAGGGTCAAGTTTTAAATACCTGAGGAAGCCTGAAAACTACCTTGAATCCATGCCAAGTTTCTTCTACATAAGGAGACTCAGACCCAGAGAGCACAAGTGGCTAGCCCAAAATCACACAACTGGCTGTCAGTAGTCAAGGCTAGACCTGAGGAGCAGGGTGGATAGGACAGCATGCAAGGGCAGCACACAAGTAAACTGTAGCTGTGAATGCAGTGGCAGCGTGGGCTATAGGTACCAGGGGACATGGGCTCGATTCCAGTCCTCAATACTTACTAGCTGTGTGACCCTAGCAAAATGATTTAAGCTAGATTTACTCACATATGATTGCAAGGATGAAATAACAAAACAGAGCACTTAGTCACTAGTGGCCACTGTTATTTAACCCGTTTCAGTGTGTGTGTGTGTGTGTGTGTGTCGGGGGTGATGTCTGGGTTAACCCAGAAACGCTGACATTCTTGGGGAATGAGGTCACATGATCCAGCTTCCAAGTGCTATCTTGATAATGCCAGTAGGAGACAAATTCTGTCTCAATAGTGCTCTAGGTACTAAATACAATGCTGTTACTACTCAGAAAGGTCACTCAGAGGGCCAGGGATGTGGCTCTGTGGCACCGCACCTGCCTCACAAGCACAAAGTCCTGAGTTTGATCCCTGGTACCAGGGAAAAAAAAGAAATGTCACTCAGAGCTGAGTGTGCCTCAGAACCAAGGCCCCATTCATACTTACCTCTGAAACCCTGCAAGGTGAAATGAGAATCTGCACTTCCAGAAATTATTGATACAACTTATACACCATAACAGTCACCATTTTAAAGTATACACTTTCAGTGGTTCTTAACACCCTATATTCGGAAGGTTGTTAGAACCATCACCCCTAAAAGAAACCCCGGATCCATTAGCAGTCACTTCCTATTCCCTACTCTCAGGCTCTGACAACCACTGAGCCACTTTCCATCTCTATGAGTTTGTGTACTCAGGCATTCCATGCAACTGGGTAGTCTCTGCCTAGCCTCCTTACTTGGCACATCCTTAGAGTGTGCACTTTTAGCAAGCTCCCCAGGTAATTCTCATGAGTGAGTTTTGGGAAGGAAAGGAATAGTAAATTTATACAAGGTGAAACTTCAGGTTATTATAAAGTTACAGAGTGTGCCTGTCTCTAACACCTACAGGGAATAGGCAATGCTGGCTGCCTGCCTCCTCCAGAGATTGCAGGGTGAGACAGGGTCTCCTGGGTGCTCTGCAGAGAGATGTGTGTAAATGGACAGTGGCCTGGCTCAGAAAACTGGGCAGATTAACTAAGAGACTCACACAAAGGGATTAGTCTCAAGACTTTAATGTACATTATGCTCTTGGAAAAATATCTCCAAGGAAACAAGAGAAACCAAAGTCTTAACCAGCAGGGATTCTCATTCAGAAACCTGCTGTGAGCCCCAGCTTTAGAAGATGATGGCACCGGGACTTAAAGAGTACAACAAACAGTCTAAGGTCAGCATGGAGGGCCTGTGTGTCCATCTAGAGATGGAACTCTGCCCACACAGCACAACAGGCATGCCCCCAAGACTCCCAAGAGAGCAGAAGAATCATCACCGATGACAGACAGTTCCACAGGAGGGCTGGGAAGATTCAGGCTGCCCAGGTCATTTGCAGGGTTCAGAAGGCAACTTCAACAGGGCCTAAGAAGCCTGCTTGGGACAAGAACTCTTTTTATTGTTGTATCTCTGGTCATCAGAAACAGTCATGGTAGCTCTTGTGAGGAATCGGGGCACATGGGAGGGGTGCCAAATCACTGTGTCTGAGGCTTTGGAATGCAACTGACAGTGATAGCACCAGGAAGATCTCTGAAATCAAGGGCCACTCCAGTTTTGGGATATTAAAAACTGGAGCCTCTGGACAGGACAAGGGGATTTAGGGGGAGAAAGCTAAGCCAGACTTCCTTGTCACCCTCTTCCCAGTCAAGGCTCACTACCTAAGTTTTCTATCACAGACTCCCATTCAACCAGGGGCAGGTAGAAACTGCAGCTCATTTCCCCTATAAACCTACATTTAACTTCCAAAAAATCACCCACTGATATCTCAGACTCCCAAGGCAATCCAGGGTTTCTTGTTTTCTAATCATCCTATAGAACAAAAGATCAGTTCCTTGGACTTTCAGTTCTTCTTATCAAAAAGAATGATAATGCTACCAAGGCAGGTCTGTCCCAGGAGCTTCTGTAAAAGCTTGTTAGCTTAGTCAGGCCCGGGCAAACAGAGAACCCACACATATGCTTTTAGCATGGGTACAGCCCCTTTTGTGATGAAGTAATTTATTTATTGGTGAAGAAAGGAATTCTGGCTCCATCTTTGCAGAACCTGGCAGGACTGCTGCCCTGGAGCAGGAGCAGTCCTAGGATAAGAGCAGGTGAATGGAGAGGCCAGGGCTGTATTCAAGTGGGAAGGGGCCTCTCACAACTCCTGTGTTCACAGAGTTAGCCGGTCTCGATGCCCTCAGGGAGCTCCACCACCACTGGAGCACAGTCCTCAGGCTCTGAGGCAAAGTCCCACCGAAACTTCTTGGTCAGGTGGGCTTGGAACTTTTCAGCTTTCTTCCTCAGGGTGGGATCCACAGCAATGCTGCAGGCTGAAGAAAAGAAAACCTACAGAGAACAGAGAGTAGGTCATTCCTGAGAACAGAGGGACCAAGAAAGCTGTGAAAATTTCCTCCTAGTGTTCAGCTCTCTGGGGCAGTCCATCAGCTGCTGCTGGCACAGGCCAGGACACCTGCCATGCCCCCCGCCACGCACCCCCATGAAAGAAGGTCCAGACCCAGCTAAGGTGCTGGAACAGAGCTCGAATGGAAAATGACTATGCTGGACAGGGACACTCATGGAGAATAAGGCCAGTGAGGCCGTCACCACTGTCCCACTCCTTGGGGGTGGAGGAGGGTCTATGAGGCACCTGGGCAGTAACTCAGAGGAACCAGCAACTACACCAGCTGGGACTAAGAACATACAACTTGGGATCCCATAAACCCTAGGCCCTCGGCTAATGAGGCTGAATCACTGTTCTAATTTTCTAAATGGGTTAGGGACTGCCAGTTTGAGGCTTCTATCTGCCTTAAAAGCTGTCTTTGATGTTTATTTTTAAAAACATTATCATAGATTTTTTTAATTACTTGAGAATTTATTTCTTTTTCATTGTTTAAATTGTAGTAAAACATACATACGTACCATTCAAACCATTTTTTCTAAACCTTTTTAAGTGTATAGTTCTGTGGCATTAAGTACCCACACAACTGTCGTGCAACTATTACCACCATCCATCCACAGAACTTTTTCATCTTTCCCTACTGAAACTTTACCCATTAAACACTAATTCCCTATTCTCTCTTCCCCTAGCCCCTGGTAACTACTCTCCTATTTTCTGTATCTACGAATCTGACTACATTTGGTACCTCATATAACATTTATTCTTTTGTGACTGGCTTATTTCACTTAGCATACTATCTTCAAGGTTCACCTATGCTGTAATATGTATTAGAATTTCCTTTTCAAAACTGAATAATATTCTATTGTATGTACGTACATTTTATTTGTCTTTTCATCCCCTGATGGTCATTTGAGTTATTTTTACATTTCAGGTATAGTGAATAAAGTTGCCATGAATATGGCTGTACAAATATAGTACTTGTTTGAGTCCCTACTTTCAATTTTTTTTTTGGTACAGACCTAGGAGAAAACTGCTGGATCATATGGTAATTCTATATTTAGTTTTTAACTGCCACACTGTTTTCCACAGCAGCTGTACTATTTTATATTCCCACCAGCAGGGCACAAGGATTTTGATTTCTCTATATCCTGGCTAACATTGGTGATTTTCTGTTTTTTGTTTTTGTTTTTTAATAGCCAGCCACTCTAAGGGGTGTGACTTGGTATCTCAATGTAGTTTTGATTTGCATTTTCTTTTTTTGGTTGATGTGCATTTTTTAAATCATCAGTGAGCATCTTTTATGTGCATATTGGCCATTTCTATAAATTTCTTTGGCAAAATACAGTTTCCTTTGACCATTTAAAAAATTGGGTTGTTTTGTTGAGTTGTATCAGTTCTTTACAGATTAGAATGCTTAGAAACATTCATCTCTTTTTTGTTTTGTTCTGGTTTTTGTTTTGGTACTGGGGATTGAACTCAGTACCTTGCACTTGCAAGACAGGCACAGTGCTGCTGAGCTAAATTCCTGGCCCTTCATCTCTATTTTGATATTCTCATGAATTTAGTTTTATGTAATACAAACACGGGCAGGGGAACAAAACAATTTTCTCCACATCTAATAGCCCATAGATTGTTCTGGATCCCAATTCCTTCTAAAAACAACAGCAATGCTGGGGATTTAGCTCAGTGGTTCCAGCACCTGCCGCGCAAGCGCAAGGTCCCGAGTTCGGTCCCCGGTACAAAATAAAAAAAACCTCTCACCCTAAAAATAACAGCAAACCCACTACTCCTTACATTGTCTTGCTGCATATCCAACTGGATCCTTACCTTGCCCTGGGAAGATACAGAAGAATGTGAATTTTTTCAGTACCAGGGATCAAACTCAGGACCTCACAGTTCAACTGTGCCGCTGAGCTACATCTCTGGCCCTAGAGTGCGTATTTTAAGGACATGGGGGACGAGAGGTATTAAATGGCTAAATCAAAGGCATCCAAGAGGAAAAGAATGGTTTTTTCCATACTGCCACCTGCTGCCGCACAGGACCCCACAGGCATGGACATAAGGGAAGAAGCAGCAGCTCTTTGATCCACATTACCCTTATGCCACAGCTGGCCTGCAGATCATCATGGAAGAACTCTGGACTCCAGGAGATCTGACTTGACAGAGGTAACAGGTAGACTTTACACATGCTTTCAGGGGCAAAATGTCCCTCTTTCCACCTCTCCACAGTCTATTAGAGGGACCAAATAATTTATCAATAATTATGTGATAGTGCTGGAGAGAAAAGGCTCATCCTGTGGAGGTGGTGGGTTGTGTACCAGACTCCTGAATGGCACTGGCTCGCATGCTATCCCCTTGTGATGTGGCTTGTGTAAAGGCCCAAGCTGAAATGAAATGTTCCAACCTCTATTTTCCTAATACTGTGCCCAAGGCTCTCACACTGTGCTTATATCACAGTGGTGTATGCCTGCAAGTGTAGGGAACACGTCTTAATTATCAATGTGTCCCACACAATACATCACTCAGGACCTGGTGAAGAGTTAAGAGCCCATAGGATGCTCACTGAACGGTAAGAACAAGACACAAGATTGTCTTGCATTTAGCAATGCCAGAAGTGGCGGCGGGGCTGGAACAAGCTGGCCTCACAGTCATCATCCACCCTCCCCACCCACCTCTAGATGTGCCCAAGAGTAGAATAAACTAGAAGCCGGTACAATAGAAAGCTTTAGTTTAAAAACTACAGCTTCTAATTTGAAAAGTGCTTTGTCCTTTTTAAAGAACTTGTCCATTTAATCTTTCTACAAACCTGGCAGGCAGAAGGACAGGAAATTACTACTCCCATTGTACAGACAAGGATGCAAGGTATGCTGCATCATGCAGTGATAAACAGTGAGCGAGGCCCAGTCCATGTAGGCATATCTCAATTTAATCCTTTCGCTCAAAAGATCTTCCTTTGTTTTGACGGAGACTAAACACATCCTTGATATTTAATTTTCAGCACTGCTTTGTGCGTTTGTGTGTGTGTGTGTGTGTGTGTGTGTGGTGGTGGTGGGGACCTGCAATGTGCACGTGCTTCTGGAAGTGTCCCTCTGCAGGCCTCTAGGACCAAGGGCACAGCCCAGGTTGATTAAAAACAACAACAAAAACTTCATTGAAATATAATTTGCACACAATTAAATTCACTTACTGTTAAGTGTTAATTCATATGAACAAATGTGCATTGCCATACAACCACCATATGATATATATTTACAGCATTCTTTTGGAATCTAGTTCTGAGTTTCAAGGCTCATATGGATTTGTGTGTCCATCACTACAACTGGGATTTAGAATAGTTTGGTTATTCCAGAAAAATGCCTTGGTGCTGGCTCTTGGCAGCCAAAGCCTCCCCCTAGCCCATCCCCTGGCATCTCTGATTTATTTTTGACCCTCTAGTTGCACAAACTGGATACTTTAAAAAATAACTCAGAAAAGATACTTTAAATATGCTTAGTTTCCAAGCAATAATTTATTCTGATTTTGTTATTTTCAGGTTAACTTTTGCCTTCTTTAGAAAACTTAACAATAATCTCGCTATTTTATTCACTAAGGTGAAATTAAGTAAACATTTTCTAACATCTATGAGAAATGAATCATCTTAATTTTGGCAGGTTAATCCTAGATATTTTAAAAATACTTTTGAAACAAAATGATCACATTTTTAAACAAATGCATTTATCTAAAATAAGCACACCCATTAGGTGTTTTTCTTCAAATATTTAAAAAAGTATCAACATTTTAATCATTAAACCTATTATAAAATTTAAATTACTCATTAATGTGAAAGGTTTTTTTTAAACCTAAGTTAAATAAATTGAGTGCAATAAGATTACCTTGAGAGATTCAAAGCAATAAGGTAGGTAGCTTTGTCATTATCATACCTTATTTTTTGGTTAGATGAAAAAGGAGAAATTTCCTAATTTTTTCAATACCCAATTTGGCTTAAGAATAAAACTGACTGATTCCACTGCTCCCAGGGCAGAGGAGGTGAGCTATGGGGGCGCCACCAGCAACCCCCCCCACCCCCCACCCCCGGTCCATGGAAATGAGAAGACACATAAACAAGCCTCAAAAACAGACTTCCGGATCACCTACGGCAACCCCAAAGGAAAACGAGATGGAACACTCTGATACTCAACCACCTGGACTCCCTGAACTGGCAACAAAAGACGATCTGGAAAAACTGAAATCAGAAATAATTTCTCAGATAACAGCAGAGATTGTGCCCATAGTGCAAGACATGATTAATAAATCTAGAGAGGACAT